GATAGAATTTGGAAAATGTAGTTATCCATTACTATTAACTTCATGTCATTATAGTTTTTTAAAATTTGGTTAACAATTAGTTTGTTCTTCAAACATGCGCAGTAACAACATCAGAGGACCATGCATACTTCTACTTTCGGTTCACTGAATGATAGAAGATTAATAGCTATATTTCATTTATCAAATGAACAACTTACAGTAGATAAGAAAATTTCGTCGATATTTATCGAAAGAAACTGTCAAAACTGCTGAATTTCTTTCTACTTTTTTAATACCTTTATGGTTTATCTTAAGTGGAAGTTATCTAGAGTGTTTGTTTATTAGTAAATTAACTTCTTGATCTAGACTACTGTGGATAGAGACACAGAAAGTTGTTTAATTCTTGTTTCTATTTTTCAGATATTTTCTGTTCAATTTAGCAACAATAAGCGGAGAAAAACCTTCAGATAGTTAAGAAGAAGGCGATTTGGTTGGAAATTATGTCACAAATGAGGTTACGAAATCAAATGTAGATAACTCATATTTTTGACTATTAGTTCAGTTAAAAAATCAACGATTAATAACAACAACTGCTCTTTAACTCAAAATTCTGCCTTTTGCAGCTGTTTCATCTCGACATCAGTTAAATTCAACAAGGACAGTCGTTGATTAAACAAAACTTAAAATTCATGCTCCAACGGGAACAGAACGAGATCAAAATGTAGATAACCATATCGGTAGTGGTGGTGGTGAACAGAGTAGGATAAATAGAAACGTAAACAAATGTAGGTTAAAGAAATGTATGTCTGTAGAATTAGGCCAAGAAAAAGACGTTGATAAGATCGATATGACCTGGCAGTTGAAAATGATAGCTCAAGAACTATCAACTACAAAAAGCAAAGCAAATAATTAAAAACGATATCCTGTATTCAGAATATTGTCTTTCAGAGACATGTCGCTGTGACAAAAATTTACCATTGGTAAACAACTGATATGAGCAAAGTTGAACAAAGAGCTTTTCTCTTCTAAAATAATTTTCGATGTAATTTTTTGTTGTTTGTATAGGAATTTCAGTAGAAAAGTATATTCAAAAACTTTTAAACTGAAGCACATGTAAAACGTTATGAATCACTGCATGTGTTCATTTTTGTAGTAGATCTCTATTTCGTAGTCTGATTGCTACTGTCATTTACATCACATACGAGTGACGAAGAATATTTGGAAAAATAGTCGAAGTTAATTGTGTGTAAGATCGAAAGTAATTTTTCTATGTTTTGAATGGATCCAGTCATCGATGCTTCCTTTCAACCATGACTGATGTTATATCGTCAGGGAATATTGTCGAAAATAAACATTCTCTCTTTCTTTTAGTGGTAGAAGGTGTTCCGACGATCGGCATTCAGCAAAATTCGAATACAGCAGAATTCGAAAGAGCTTTTGAACGTAGCAAATAAACAATATAACTGTGCAATAGCCGGTATCAGCTATATGATTGTGTTGACCAATGAATAATTCAATGGTTAATTAGAGTAATTCACCAGACAAAGAAACTAGAACAAATTGACAGTCTATGTACTCAAATATGGTTTCAAACTGCGCAATGGTACAATTTTTATGCCGTCTAGTGAGATATTGCAACCTGTATTAAAAATATGAACCCTTACGACTCGATACTGTCGTGATATCAGTATGTATTTTTCTTCCTCTTACGCTATGTCTCGTTGTTCTTCAGTAGTCAATGTATGTCCACATCTCCTTGATTTAAAAGCTTCTATGAAAACGTGTTTTTATCATAATGGAGTGTTTATGTGACTCAGATCTGAGCGCAGAATGAATGCCGGTCTCAGTATTTTCTATTTTTCTCGTGTTTCTTTAGAACCCTAAGGTTAGTGTCTTTTTTAAAAGATGCGCCGCGAAATACTCAACAATACTCTACTATACTTTAATTTCAGAACTTTAATCAAGATAACTATGCAAATTATACGAAAGACGAAAAAAATAAAAACTTTCTAAATTTGATATTTTATTCGACTTGAACTTTTTCTTCTGCTATTGTTGCCGTAAAAAAGTGTAGAACGCAGCTCTTTTTGTACTTTTGACTATGCTCTTTCTCGTCGTCTGGAAAACATTTTTTTAGAGCAGATGGTATACTGGAGAACGAAGTTACAGAAATACGTCAAAAATTGACAGTCCCACGTTTCCAACAATGTGTCTAAGCAAGAAACGGAAAATATCATCGAAGTTTTGATTCTGCAGTTAGGTAGAGAAGAGAAATCATTTACGATCAAAACAAAATAAATCCGATCGAAAACGCTTTGGTTTGATGGAGTTATAGGAGTTTTAGTGAAAGCGCTACTATAGCCAGAATTTAAAAAATTAATGAAAAAAATGCGTGACAGAAAAATGATTATTTTTCCATGGATTTTGATGTGAAAAAATGTCAAGTGTAGCTAAAAGATAGAGCGAAGTCAGGGCTACTTAATGGCTGATTCAGATTTTCTTACTTTCAAAACGCTAGCACAAGAAATCGTTTTTGACTTTAGAAAGTTTTCATTTTTTTCGTCTTTCGTATAGTTTGCATAGTTTTCTTGATTGAAGTTTGGAAATTAAAATTTAAGTCTGATTTTGTAGAGTATTTCGCGGCGCATCTTTTAAAAAACACTAACCTTAGGGTCCTAAAGTAACACGAGAAAAATAGAAAATACTGAGACTACCATTTATTCTGGGCCACCCGTTAGGAAAAAATGAATCGATGCTTCGCACCATTTATTATGTTTGAAGAAAACGATGTGAAAAAGTACAGAAAAATCCATTTTCATGAATAATCGCAATCTACTGTTCTGGTCTCGACCGAGAGTTATTTATTTTTTCCCCATTGCGTACGATGTCAAAAGACTTATTGAAGTTAGTTTTCCAGTTTTGTTTTATATATATGCGCATAAAAAACATCAGAAATCCAGAGTAAAATAGCAAAGTATTTTGAATTTTATCAATAACTCCACGTAAAAGCTGTCTCATTCTGGCATATAATCCATTAAAAACAAGTAGCGCTCATCATTCTGATTCACTTATCCCTTGACTGCAAACGAGTTGCCAGTATCAAATTGTTTCTACAGAATAAAGTAATTATCTTCTTTGTTCGCATTACATTCTGAAGAACATTCTCAACAAGCAGCAGCAGGCTAGTACTACGACAGTTCTGACGACTATCGTTGTTCTTGCAAGGCAAGAGATAAATGATGCACATCCCTAATTCTTAAATTCTTATTTCTAATCACTCGTATTATGTCTTGACGTGTACGTTTGTCTGCCCGCTGATAACTTCTGTCTACGCCCTAGCACAGTGGGAAAACTATCTAAAATATGCTGTGAATTTTTCTCTGATTTGATGTGTAAGCTTCCTAATATAATGTAATGCTAAAAGGTTTTCACGAGACCCTCCAAAGATCCCAAGAGGTCTAGTACTATTCCTAAATTGAAGACAATGCTCACGCATTCCTTCGGTCAGCGTTCGCAACCGGGGTACCTGAGAAATATTATGAACTTCTCTCATAGCGCACCATCTAGTATCAAGGTAAAACGTATTCTGGACACCCTTTGAAAATGCCAAGGGCCCTGGAAGCATCACTAACCGATTTGCCCATGATAGACTACCTATATTCTATAAGTTTTGTTCTGCCCTAGATGACTCTTTGGCGTTATCAAACGTGGCTATTTCTAGCGACATCCACCTAAGAACTACAGGAAAATTTTGCTTAGCTTTTTTTCTCTGCATCAGTAGATATTTCGGCCATCTCTCTGAATATTTTCTCCCTCATAGTTAAAACAGAATTTTCTGTATTTGCCTTCTTGTGATTGGCTTATATATACAGTATCTGATAGCCATTTTTCCATATTTTCACACACATACCCACAACCACTTTGTAAGACGCTAGACTAAAGTCAGTGGAATGGTAGAATATCCCCTCATTTTCATGAAATGAAGTTTAGAAGAAGTTTTCGACTAATATAATCGATCTCAGAGACCGCTCAAAACCATTTTCCGACTCCCATAATCGAATACCTCTTGCGCACCATTCTCATTCAGCGAAGTTAAGATAACAGTTTCGACCAACAGAATCGATCGTAGAGGTCGTTAGCGCTCAGTTTTTGATTTCCCATAGTCGCATACCTGTAGTTTGCGGCCTGACAAGTGATGACTCATACAAGAAAAAGCAAATAAGCGCCATCTCTTTTTGAATGTGTGGGACTCAAATTCATTGGATGGAAATTTCAATTATAAGACGAAATTATGATATATTCTATTTAAAGTGATCAAAATTTTCGGACGATTAGCCCTTAGTGAGAAAAGTCTCTGATGGCGCTAGCGTATGTCGCTATTTTAAGATAATCAATAGCGCCATCATCGATTTCTAGTGTTTGTCCGAAACATCCGACCATTTCAAATCAGTCTTTTAATATTTTGTGACGATCTCCGAGCTTTCTATCCAATGAATTTGAGTCCCACACATTTGAGACTAATTACGTTTTTTCATGCAGCTAAATTTTGTCAGTCCTCACACTACTGTTGCACACCATTTCCATCCAATGAAATTGAGAAGAAGTTTTCGACAAACAGAATCCATGCTAGAGGTCACTTATACGCAGTTTCTGATTCCCATTGTCGATTACTTACTGCATATCAGTTACATCCAATCAAGTTTTGCACATCCTTCTAATAATCTGCTTTCATGTATTTTTCTTGAGCATCTAGAAAGAGATGATAAACATGAAGTTTCACTTGTGCAGTATTGTTGACTTTTATTACAAATTGTTCAGTAACTAGACTGTTGTTATCGAAAACGTTCTTCTTATCTTGTGTTAGTTTTACGCAAGTTTTATACTGATGAGGGTTTCAATCACAACTTTTACAGACGGTGAAAACTGCAACTGATGAGTCGCACCATGCACTATAGCCCATCGCATATGCAGTTTCAATGGTACTGACGAATTTTGATTTGTAGATGAAAACATTATATTTTATGCGAACATTCTCAACTACAACAAAAAGATCAAATCTAAGAGGTATATATAATTCTTACCAATATGACACATCTCGACAAGTGGAAAGTTTGTGGGAAATGGAATATCGACGACCAACTGATAAACACTTGCCATTGTCACCTGGTGAACAGGTTGACTGTAAAGTAGCTATTATCGGTGCTGGGTACACAGGTCTTTCATGTGCATTACATTTGGTTCGTGACTATCAAATAAAGGGCAATGACTTACGCGTGTTTGATGCCGGTAGAGAACTTGGTTGGGGTGCATCGGGACGTAACGGAGGATTTTGTTGTATGGGTGCAACACATTTATCATCGAAACAAATGATACAACAGTATGGTTTAAAGGAAACACAAAAGTGGATGAAATTACAGGTAGATGCAGTGAAACTCGTACGAAGTTTAATTGAAAAATATCAGATTGATGCTGAACTTACTGGTGATAGTATAGTCTGCGTGGCACACTCATCAAAAAGTTATAAATCATTTGAACAAGAAGCACAGGAACTGCAACAACTCTTTTCAATACCTTGTACACTGTATCCACAGTATAACCATGGTATGTATGGTGCACTGAAAGTTCATGTTGGATTTGGTCTAAATCCACTAAAATATCTAAATGGTCTAGCAGAAGTATGTCAAAAGCAATATGGTGTCAAAATACATCAACGGAGTCAAATAATTAAATGGGATAAAAGAAATAAACATCATCATCGTTTATATACTGACACGGGTGCATGTATACAAGCAGAAAAAGTAGTCATTGCAGCCAATGGTTACATGCCAGAATCTCTACATTCGTCTCTAGTTGGTCGTATTATGCCAGTTTTATCGAATATCATTGTTACACGCGCATTGACATCCGATGAATTGATGAAATATGGAAAAGATTTGATAAATCCGCATTATACATCTCGACACTTATTAAATTATTATCGTTTATTACCAGATTCTAATCGATTTCTATTCGGCGGACGTGGTGATACATACGGCGATGTTGAACATGGTGAAATAATGAAAAAACAATTGCTAAAACAATTTCATGATTTATTTCCTTTATGGGCAAATCAAGTTAAAATTACACATTATTGGTCTGGTCTTGTGTGTTTTACAAGAAATTTCGGACCATCATTTGGATATTTAAATGGTAACGATAAATCTGTTTGGTATTCTTTTGGTTATCACGCCAATGGTGTGAATACAGCAACATATGCAGGTAAACAATTAGCGAAATATTTGACATTAGCAACACAATCAGACGTAAAATCATATTTATTCAATGATTTACCCCATCTACTAGTTAAAAACGGTTTACCACCAAAAATACCGTTTTCACAGTTTCGTTTGTGGTATTTGAGAGTAATATTGGTTTTTTATAGGTTACTTGATTACTTTAGATAAAAAAATCAAATGTGATTATTATCTATGAAAAGTTTCAAATCATTCTGTATGTAATGATGTAAAAACGTGTATTGATAGTTTGTACGTGCATATATTGATGACATCATTTAAAAGACAGCCAATATTTTATTTTGTACTGAATTTTCAAATAGTCTAATTTATGATACGAACGGACTGAGAAGAGATACATAACAGACTCAGACTATAGTACAGATTTCAGCATAATTTAAATTAATAATGAATGGATCAATGAATGATCAATAATAACTTGGAATTTTTAGTGATCTGCTAGTCCAAAATGTTCCTTTTTTTTTATGTATCTTTTTTGAATATTTTATTTCTATTGTTTTCAGTGATTTTATAACTGAAATTTATATAAAACAAAAGTATAATCAAAACTGTTTAAGAATCAGCCATGACACTGATTGTCACTTTCACTATCACGCTTACAGGCGTTCAAATATTTACCCTCATCTAAGAGCTGGTTCTAGAACGGGAGGAGGTCGTGGATGGTAACTCCCCTAATAATCGAAATCTGTTCTTTTTTCAAAATTCACAAATTACTACGCTATTGTTTTTTCGTTCCTCTACACGAATCGCAACCAAAAATTTATCCGACCTCCTCCCAATTTTAGAAGCCTCACGTCAGCCTTGACCGAATGCATACTAAGAATCTTTGTCAGCTGCATAAATCAAACAGTATTCTTCATTAAATTCCTATCTTCATCGAATCGTTGTGTTGTTACTTCCCCGTTTTAGTGTTGATAGAACCAGAAAACTATTTTTCATCGAATTGAATTGCTGGGTGGTGGAGTGTTGAATTTTCATAACGAGTTCGATAGCAAACTCATAATACATCGTCAACAAGGATTAGAATGAGCGAGTTCCACCCATCTCTTTAAACTCAGTCTTTTTTTTCTGAGACTACCGTTATACTGAATCAATAAAGGTTTAATAAAGAAACAAATGAACTTCTTACAACTGCTTTTTCTCAACATATTTGTTTTTTTCGATTTATACTATTCATTCGTAATTTTATCTGATGGACTATGTGCTATTTTTCTCTTTACATATCAGTAACTCTACTTAAGAACATCATAGAGCTAAATACATGATGTGAACCAGAGTCCTGTCATTATCTATCTTGAAAATTTATTGATAATACCGACAAAGGTCATAGAAATACTACAACATAATGCCACTGCTCAATACCCGTTATCCATGACCTTCACGTATGAAGATACTTTCTATTGATGTTATATTTACACTGTTCTCTAGCATATTTATGTTGTCATAAACTCTATTTAATAGAAGAAATGTTGAAAAAATCAGTACAATTATGACTAGGAGGCGAGCCCATTACACCTTAACATAAACTGACTAGAAACAGAAGACAACACAAGAATATACATATAGAGACGGTATACGACGACAATATAAAAAAGAGAAAGTAATGATAGCAACAGAAATAATAAAAAGTACACTCGTGGCGATGTTTCCTTTCAGAAAAGGGTAAGAAACTTACTTTTATTATTTGTCAGTGAGAACATGAGCAAAATGCACCCGCCACAGGTTTATTTTTAAAATTCCACATTGTCTACTAGTTTACAGACTCCACTTGGAATTTGGCCTATAGAGGACATTCCGGTCTATCTCAGAAATCTTTAAACAATAAAGATCGCTGGTTGTAGATTAGTGACCTCGTGTTGGAAATGGAGTCTATTCGATACATCATGTGAAAATCCGACTTGATATATGTTATCAGATACTCTAAGGTCTCTTCTAAAAAAAGTGAAAAAATTCAACGTCTCTATCTCCTTTCATTCAAAATTTATATGAATTGGCACTGTCTCGATTCTGTTCCAAAAAAAAAGAAAAGTAGAAACCGACTTTCCTTTCTTTTGGAAAAGGAACATTTTTACTTTCCTACTGTTCATTCTCAAAAACAAAGAAAAGGAAAGTATGATATAACTTTCTTTTGTGTTTTTCTTTATAAAGACAGCACTTTAAAGCAAAACTAGGCTCATGTTCATGATCAGCGTCGACACAAAAGAAAATTATATCATACTTTCCTTTTCTTTCTTTTTGAGAACGAACAGTAGGAATGTTATTAAAAAATAGGTTTGAATATGATGAATACTGTGCAATCTATTCTGCTGTTATAAAATTTATTGAATACTCTAAACGATTTAACAGCTAACGTACTTTGTATATCCCCTACTTCTTTCACTCTTTTTTTTCTATATCTTCTCCTTCCTTTTTAACTTTTCCTTTGTTTTTTTAAATGGTAGTTTTTATTTTTTGTTGTTATCCCATTTGTCTATGTTGCGTTTCTTCAGATAGCCAGGTACAATGCTCTGCGATTCCCGACCATCTGTGATGCTTATTTCAGCTGACTAATAAATACAGATTAAAATAAAAAATAAAAACTGTTTTTTTTAAGCTTTAACTCTCATCTCTCCAGTCCAATGGCCACTGAAATCGGGTTACCCCATTGCATCTGTGCCCAAAGGTACCGAGAGAATAAGCATTAGATAGCTTATCCAAGACTGTCATGCAACCGCCGTTGCCGAGATTCGAACTTCGTATCTTTGAAGTACGTTGTCTGCCTATTAGCCGACTGAGCCACGCTGCTAGTAAAAACTTTTCTTTTCCAAAAGAAAGAAAAGTCAATTTTTAATTTTCTTTGAGAAAGAAACGAGAAAGTGCTACCCCTAATTATGTCGGATATGGCGAGAGAAATGTGCTTGTTTTTATATACAAAAAGAATAATAGTTTGTTGCACATTGTTTAACCACAATGACAAAACCACTTCAATTTCAATTTATTTTACTACAAACGTCGTGCAAAGTTACAAATAAGATGCAATAAAACCTTACTCTATGTTCACTATATCTTTTATCGATTGTGAAGAGCAACTATTCATTTTTTTTCAACTTTTAATTTATAGAGCTAATATTAGTCCTCTATTTGGTAATGTATCTGTGTTTAATACGAACGACAAATCATTCCCAGATTAAGGAATGTTAACAATAGTGGCTGATTGTACTATTTTCCAGCAAGACCTAGAGACAATAATGTTACTTATACGGCTATTCAGTAAGGTACATCATTTCAAAAGTTACTTTTATTCGCATACGATAGGACAACAAAAAAGTTATTACCAAAGTATATAAATACTAAATTATGATGTATTTCATTTCTTATACCATTTTCTGCTCTATTAGCTTCTAATTTTATCTTTGGCAAAGAATATTTTGAAAAATCATTCTTATTCACCAAAGAAAAAAGTCAGACATCTTATTTTATCATTAACAGTTTTAATCTGAAACTCTTCATTACGTCCAACATGAATTAACACTGATTTTTGTTTAAATCTAACTGTTCCTCTTTTCTGCAAATTTCCAATCATGGTCAAGTTTTCATCCAGACAAGATCAAAGTTGTTCCGGTTCATGTTTTTTTTTCAGCAGGTCGATCTCATTTATGCTTATATCGCTCGGATTAGATCGTCAACTACTCAGTTTAAATCATAACGAGTATTTTTATCGGTTAGCCGGCGATCGCCAGAGATGTAAATGAAGTGATGATACGTTTGATTTGTTTACTGTTACGAAAATTCATAGTGAAAAAGCGGGCTAAAAGTCAATAAAACGCTTGTACTTGTACCCTAAAACTCTTTTTATTGTCGCAAATTTCGGGCAAATCCTAATTATATAATAAGGTAAAATATACTCACTTAATAAAATTCTTTTGAAAATAAAAAATTATGGAGCACATATTCTTCGAATAATAAAATTGTCATGCATAAAATTAAAATTATTATTGTCAATCAAATCATACTTCAAAACAGATGTTTTCTTTCTTTTCTGCTTGACAATATTCCAAATACATTTAGACTGTTGGAAAAAATTTATTTTCTATTAGGAGATCTGATAACCGAACTTGTCGACTGAAAGTCTTCGTGCTTTACTTGCGATTGCCATTTTATAGCTGCTATTATTTGTTCGATGACAGTATTCGGTTTTAAATCTTTATCTTTTATTTCCATATTTGTTGTTGGTGATCGATTATTTGTTAAAAGCCATTTGCTAATATTTTCTCTTTCGTAGACAAAACCGTCAGTAGCCGTTACTTAAATATTGAATACATATATTAAATTTGGTTATTCAGTTGATAGATGCAATCTTACCTGGATTTTGTAACAGTTGACCTGTTATTGGACATATAATAAGCCGTAACAAATTCTCACTCGATATACATTGGATATTTTTGCATATGTTTTTATAGTAGGCGTTGTTATCCGATATTGTTGATCGACTATTGTCACGAGCACCACTTGCTCGATCTCTGCTCGTAGTTGAGTCCAACGATCTTTCTGAAGTAGAAGTGAATGCCAAAATATCAGATTTGATAATATGATTATTATACTGATCTCGTTCCAGTGTAATTTGATCAAAATGAAAATATGGAAGACTGGCTTGTGTCGAGTTTACTTGATCTCCTCTTCTGCTCGGTGGTGTTGGATTCCTCTCAGTATCTATTGATCCTTTTTGATCTCTGGATGATGCATTCCTGCCAGTAGATAGTTCATCTCTTCGTGGTGTTGTCGGTAATATTTGGCTCAGTCGATCAATAGCTTTGACAAAATCTCTGAAACCACCAGCGGCAGCCAAATTACTTGCTGTTTCATTATCAACAGAAATAGTAAAATCAAAATGACATAAACGGCTCAATTCATCGAATACTAGTCGTTCTCCCATACATGCTAAATGATGGAGAAAATAGAAATGATGGTAAGGTGGTTTCTCATTGGCAAGATCAGGTTGACTTTGAAGTAATTGTTTGCAAAATGACCAGTTTCCGCATTCAGCATTTCGCAATAATTCGTCCAAGTTTTTTAGCCGTTCAATCCGTTGAAACAGAGTGGTTGGTTTGTCTTTAGAAGCCTCACGAGCTATGTCTAATACACTTTTATTATCATTGGTTTTTGACAGTAATCTAAATTTTGGATTATTTATTTGTAATGCTAACAGTTGATTAAACTGATTTGTGTCGCCAGTGAAACAAACTTGGTGAATAATTGCCCAATTACGACCATCTGGAATTTTGGTTAACAAGTCAGGATGAGCAAGGACGGCAGCGTACACCTCTTCGAAATTTTTATAGTTCTTCGCATTATCATAGATCGCCGCAAAATTTAGCTCCGATTGTAAGATTGGTGGTTGCAGCTGAGACATAATATTAACTGATTAAGATCTACAAGAAAGTAATAGACTGTTCAAGCAATTTAGATCAATTAAAAGTATTTTTTTAAATCACAAATGGAATATGCAAATTTTAGCTCGAAAAGCACATGATATAGACCTCTAGACAAATGCGGTGCATTTTCAACAACAGAAAAAATAGTTTGCTAGAATCACTATAGTTTAAACATGAGCCCAATTGTATCGAACAATTATAGAATCAACATTTTA